AAATGAATGACAACAATGGGATTTTGGTAGAAGTTGGGTTATTATATCCACCTTGTTTTAAAGGGACACTCCAGTACCAGGAAAACAAATTGTTTTCCTGGCACTGCAGGTCCCCTCTCCCTCCCACCCCCCATCCCATATTGCTGAAGGGGTGACTTACCTGAGACCACTGCCGATGTCCCTTGGCGGTGGTTTAGGGTCCGTCCACGCTCCTCCCCCGCCAACGTCAGCCAGCGGGGGAGACCGATTGCGCATGCGCGGCCGCCGACGGGATGAGACCTAATGCACATGCGCGGCAATGCCGCGCACGCGCATTAGACCTCCCCGTAGGAAAGCATTGAAAGTGCTTTCAATGCTTTCCTATGGGGATTTTAGCGATGCGTGAGGATGTCCAGCGACGCTATAGCACAGAAAACCTGTGCTATAGACCAGGAGCTACCCTCTAGTGGCTGTCTAGTAAACAGTAAATATTTACAGTTGCAGGGTTAAGGGTAGTGGGAGTTGGCACCCAGACCACTCCAATGGGTAGAAGTGGTCTGGGTGCCTGGAGTGTCCCTTTAAGAGACCAATTTTGTCAAATGTTTTAAAACTCATGAAATATGCAGTATGTATAATCATATTTTGCAGGATTCTTCATTTCCAGATTACTAAATCGTATACACTTTCTTCTGAATTCTACCATCAATATGCGATATGTGTCCCTGAAAGCATTGCGGATCCGGTAACCATAGGCAAAAGCCAGGGTATTGGTGGTTGAATCCATATTAATCCTTGGTGATCATACACCCTGGAGGGGACTTGTACTTGAAAAAAAAAACAATAATCCATTTCCTAGGTTGTCTAAATGTAAACTGTAGTATGGATAGGGTAAGGAAAGAGTGGGGGAGCAGGGAAGACTAGTGAAACGATAAGTTTTCATACAGTCTGACTCAAGGTGCATGCATATGGCTAAAAGATCCTGCCATATACTGAGTTTTCCCTTTTGCTACATATACTTTATGTACAAAGAAATATTTATTTTCAAAATGTGATTGAAGGATTATTGTATTAAAAAGTAATGCTCAGGTGACAGTTGTGCTTTAAGTGCTTAAATAGAGAAGAGTTTGTTTAATTTACAGGGAGGAGTTACATTTAGGGTAAGGGAAAATAGGTGTTTAGAGCACCTGGAGTGTGAAGGGTTATTTGCAAAATAGCCACCTTAATATGTCTCCTGTCATTCTCCTATGATTGAAAGAGATGCAGGAGCTGTAATACAGTATGCTGTAATACATCTCAATGAGTCCCTGCTCCTATTGCATGACATTTCTTGTAAGAGAAGCTGTGACCAGACAGATGGGAAGTCAGGGCCGTCTTTAATAACGAATGGACCCTGGGCAAGTGTTTGCTTGGGCCCCCTGGGCCCTGCCGCTCTCGCCCCTCACTCCCTGGTATGCAATCACGGCATCCATCCCAACGCAGTGGCGGTACTAAAGTAGAATGAATTTTATTGGGACCCCCAATTGCAAGGTTGGACTAAAGGTAGAACCCCATCTGTCGTGCAACTCAACAATGCTTTGACAGCTGGGACTCTACCAATTTCCCATGCTTGCAGGGTTGTATTTAGCACTGAGCCATGTTTGTATGTTTGAATGTAAGCATGTGTTTGTATGGAGTATGTTTGTGTGAATGTGTTTGTATGTGGTACTGGAGTTTGAATGCAAGTGTGCATTTATGTGTAGTGTTTGTTTTTGAATGTAGGAGTGTGCTTGTATGTAGTGTTGACGTTTCAATGCAGGAGTGTGTATTATATGTAGTGTTGAAGTTTGAATGGAGGGGTGTATTTGTATTTAAAGTTGCGGCTCAGATGCACAGGTACAAACTCTGACGCACAAGCAGATACACTGATACATACACTGACTACATACAGATAAACAGGCACATACACTGACAGACACACTGACACAGGTACATATATTTACACACACACAGACACATACACTGGTAGACGTACTGACAGACATACTGACACAGGCACATATACAGACATACTGACACACAGACACATATACCGACATACTGACACACACACACAGACACATACACTGATCAACATATTGACACACATACACTGACAGAAATACTGACACCCACACACTGACAGATATACTGACACCCACATACACTGAGAAATACTGACACGCACACACAGGCACATACACTGACACACACAGACTGATATACTGACACACACACACAGACATACTGGCACACAGACAGATATACTGACCAATGCATACACATGCACTAACAGACATACTGACGCACTGACAGACATACTGACACATACACATACTGACACACACAGATATACACACACATATATACTGACACACAGACAGACAGACATGCTGACACACACACACACACAGACATACTGACACACACACAGACATGCTGACACACACACACATACACTAACACACACATACACTAACACACAGATACACTAACACACAAACACACACACTAACACACATACACTAACACACACTAACAAACACACACACACACTAACACACATACACACACACTAACACACATACACAAACACACATACACACACACTAACACACTAACACACATACACTAACACACACATACACTAACACACAAACACATACACTAACACACAAACACTAACACACATACACTAACACACATACACTAACAAACACACACACACACAAACACACACATACACTCACAAACACACACACACACACACACACACAAACACACTAACACACAAACACACACACACACTAACACACACATACACTAACACACAAACACACATTTTTTTTTTTAAATGTAATCCCCCCAGCCTCCTTACCTTTTGGAGTGCTGGGGGGATTCCCTGGGGTCCAGTGGTGCTGCTGGGCTCCTGGGCGGGTGGCCGGTCGGGCAGGAAGGCTCCCTCGCGCGCCGCGTAGGGATGCCGGCGCCGGAAGATGATGTCATCTTCCGGCTCCGGTATCAGTGCGGTGCGCGAGGGAGCTGAAGAGGAAGCAGTGAGTGCTCCCTCGCGCGCCCGCCTTCCTGCCCGACCGGCCACCCGCCCGCCGGGGTCAGCAGGGCCAGCCTCGGGGGGGCCCTGAGGTGGCCGCCTCCTGGGCCCCCCAGGGGAAGACGCTGGCCCTGTGGGTGCATACCAGGGTCGCAGCCGCGACCCTGGTATGTACGCCACTGCCCTAAGTGCATGGGCCACCCGGTGGGACTCAGAGTATGGGGAAAAAAATAAATTGATGAGGGCAGCGGGGCCCACGGGGCAGGTGCCTCAGGCCCCCCAAGAGAAACTGGGCCCGGGGCAGCTGCCCCGTTTGCCCCGCGTTAAAGACGGCCCTGTGGGAAGTAATCCATTCTCTTTCCGGTGCAGCCTCACACAAAGACACTGGGGGAACTTGGACAGCACTGAGTTTTTTTACACCCTCTTTAGCTGTTCCGGAGGCTCCGCTATCAGGCATAAAAGCCTCACTGGACTACAGTGGTCATGGAGGGCTCCTGGTACTTATCTCTCCTCGTCAGCACACAAGGTCTAAAAAGGCATAGGGCAGGAGCCTGCAGGTAGGTGCCTAATGGGAAATGCGGCCCTGCACACATTTGTTTGAATGATTAAACAAATGCTTTTTAACCCCTTTAGGACCACTGACGGTTCAGGAACGTCAGCGGTAAAACGTGCGTTTGGACCGCTGACGGTCCTCAACCATCATGGCGAAAAACGGGCTGCGTGAAGCTATCAAAGATCGCTCCCGCCGGTACAACACTGTAACTATCTGCCAGACATCCCAGGCAGATAGTAACAGCCAATTGCGGCGTGTGAGCGATCCGCGATTGCTCACAATTGGCTGCTGTCAAAGTGGGTGTTATAAACACTCACTTTGACAGTGATCTCGGCCCCTCTCTCAGGGCCAGATTAAGAGCCCAGTGGGCCTGGTGCTGACAATTATGACGGGCCTAATTAAAGAATCATATCGACCAAAACCATTAAAACACTCCCAAGCGTCATGTATCTGATGGAGATGGTCCTGGAGAGAAAGAAAACAGCAGCTATAAGAAAACACATACCCTATGCTAATCTCTCTAATTTATGTTTTCATCTTTCAAGTAAATCCATAACCCCTAACAGCAGTGTCCAGTCAAGCAGAAAGTCAATGGGCATGGTAAAAGGATGTGCCACTGACACAAATCACGTAACCTGCAAAAGGGGCGAACATGCCCAAAAAGAGGACATGTCTGCCCAAAGAATTAGAAGGCCAGCCTGGCATGAATGCATGTCAGGCTGCCTGCCAATCATGCAGCTGGCCAACTAAGCGCATACTATGCAGACAGCACCCTGAGTTTGGCATAAATGCATCTAATGATGCGCTCACTCAACGCTTTCTAAGGACTGTTCCCTAGCACTCGCTGGTCCTCTTGTCTCCTTACCTTCTTACTAGCAGGCAGAAGCTCCTGGTATATAGTCTGGGACAGAGAAAAGCTGTATGTAGTGAGTGTAGAAGAAAGGGAACATGCCACAGTGTTAGAGAGACCAAAGTCAGCATTACCTTAAAGGATCACTATAGGGTCAGGAACACAAACATGAATTCATGACCCTACAGTGTTAACACCACCATCTAGCCCCCCTGGGCCACTCATGCCTCCATAAATATAACAAAATCTTACTATATTCAAGCCTGAAGCTGTAACTCTGCATGCTATTAGACTCATAAAAACAAGCAGTCTGCTGACATCATTAGAAGTGATGGCCTGATCCAATCACAGTGCTTCCCCATAGGATTGGCTGAGAATGACCAGAGTCAGAGCCAGCATGATTCAAACACAGCCCTGGCCAATCAGCATCTCCTTATAGAGATGAATTGAATTAATGAATCTCTATGAGGAAAGTTCAGTGTCTGCATGCAGAGGGAGGAGACACTGAATGTTTGGATGCATTTTAGGCAGCCATGACCCAGGAAGGATCTCTAACAGCCATCTAAGGACTGGCCAGTGAAGTTATCACTAGGCTGTAATGTAAAGACTGCATTTCTCTAAAAAGACTGTGTTAACAGCAAAAAGCCTTACGGTAATGATTCTACTCACCAGAACAAATTCAATAAGCTGTAGTTGTTCTGGTGACTATAGTGTCCCTTTAACTATATTCATTGTCAGCCAGTCCACACAAGTTTTGTTCCCATACATCCCTCTTAAGTTTCCATACTTAAGTAAGAGTATGTGAAAACTAGTTAGGGTTGCCACCTTTCTTGGAAAAACAATTTGCATAATTAAATATGTATGGGTGACATCACATGATGTAAATCACAAGGAGTGACATAAGAGAAAATGCTGTAAAATCACCAAAAAACGACTTAGTTTGATTCTGCTGTATAGATGGATTTCCCCCAGTGCCCCCATGTCTCCCAGTGCCCTCATGACTCAGTGCCCCCATGTGTCGATTACTCCAGGTCTCAGTGTTCCTATGTATCAGTGTCTCAGTGCCCCATGTCTCCCAGTGTCCCCTAGTGACTCAGTGCCCCATGTCTCCCAGTGTCCCCTAGTGTCGTGTCCCCAGGTCTCCCAGTGATCCTATGTATCACAGTATCTCAATGCCCCATGTCTCCCCATGTATCCCAGGGTCCCCATGTCACTAGGACACTAGGAAGACGGGAGACCTGGGGACACAGGGAGACCTAAGGACATGGAGACACCAGTGACACTGGGAGACTAGGGGACTCTGGCTGGGACACATGGGGACAATGGGAAAATAGGGGACACTTGAAGACATGGGGACACAGACACCAGGGACACAGACACTAGAGACACTGGTTGAGGGACATGGGGACATTGAGACATGGGGACACTGAGACACCAGGGCCACAAACACTAGGGACACTAGCTTGGAGACATGGGGACATTGTGACACTTGAGGCACTGAGAGACATGGAGACACTAGGAGACATGGGGACAGTGAGACACTGGCAGACTGGGGGCACTGGGAGACTATGGGGCACTGAGACGTCCCCATGTGTCTGTGTCATAATGTCTCCCAATGTCCCTTAGTGTCTCAGTGTATGTCTCCTTGCAGCCTTTCCCCCATCCCTTACGTCCCTGAGCTGTAGGCTGTCTCTGCATGGTGGGAGTTGCTGTCTGGACTCTCTGTAGCTGTACCCCTGCAGATCAGTGAGTATAGATAGGCAGGGAGGGATATGCTGGAACTTCCTATCCCTGCCTCTTTCCATACACAGTGACCCCTACTGGCCAGTGCTGGTATTGCATAGTAATCTCTTGTTTATACTGAGAAAAATACCAGCATTTGTATTGCCAGTATCACTGCAATATTGGCACCAGCCAGGCAGCCTCAAATACTGGCTGTGCCAATAAAATAAAAGCCAGGTGGAATTCCTAAGAGTAGTGTGTGGGGGGAAAAAAAAAATGTAAAAAAAAAAATTTCTTTTTTTTTTTTAAATCAATGGGCCTATTCCATGGGCCTGGACCTGGAGCTGCAGCTCCATCAGCCCCTATGTTAATCCGGCCCTGCCCTCTCTCCTCTGTAGCGTTTTGTGAGGCGAGAGAGACAGAGATCGTGATAGTTTGTTGCAGCAGTGTTCAGTGACCATCAGATAGTATCAGTATTTTATTTACAAAATCACTTTTTAACCCCTTCCCTGCCAGATCTGTTACAGCAGTGCATTTGTACTGTCTGTATTTTTTTTTGCCCTTAAAGGATTAAATTTGTTTTAAAAATGTGTCTTGGTCTGTTTTGGTCTGTCTTGGTCTGTCTTGGTCAGTCAGTTTCCTTCCCCCAAATCTCCATTAGATTTTTGTGACAGGAGTTAGTTTAGGGATTGCTGTTTAGTCTGTTTTAGTAAAAAAAAAAAAAAAAAAAAAGTATAACTTTTTTTGGTGTGTTTTGTAATTTGTTTTAGTCGTGTGTAAAACATGCAGCGTATGTATAACTTGCAGGAGGCATATGCCTTCTTGGTGTCAGACTCTGACGCCACTGACACTGCATCAGATTTTGACCCACGTCAGTTTTCTGACACGTCTAGTCAAGACGACATGTCATCTGTGTGTGAGTCGGCTGAAGAAAGAAGCTGTGCTTCCTCTGCTACGTCAAATGTGGAGGAGGACTGGATACCTCCACAGTTAGCCGAGCCAACGCAGGCATTAATGTTAATGTGGATGGCTTCTCCCCAATGAAGTATGTAGAACTATTTTTAGGGGATACCATCTGGGAGGAGATTGCTTCCCAGACTAACTTGTATGCTACCCAATTTATTGATTACAATCCAGGTAGCTATACAGCCAGGGAGCATGACTGGCATCCCACAGATGTACCAGAGCTTAATAAAATTCTGGGCTCTTACAAAGCTCATGGGGATTATAAAGAAGCCATTGATTCGCTCATACTGGAGCACCAACCCAATAATGTCTAGTCCAGTATTCTCCCAAACCATGCCTAGAGCCAGATACGAGTTACTGCTGAGATTTTTACATTTCAGTGACAATACCCTCTATCACCCTAGAGAACACCTCCAATACGATAGGCTTCATGCCTGCGGCACTGCCAGAAACATTCCAAAGACTTTCCACAATCTCTCATAGAGGTAAAATTAAAAAAAGGCGAATGTAAAGCACTTCGCAAAGCTGAAGTGCTTGCACTAAATTTTAGGGACAGGAAGGATGTCAAAATGCTAACCACCATCCATGACGAACACATGTCAGATGTCTCTGTCCGGGGCAGAGTAGAGTCCAAACCGGTTTGCATCAGGGCGTATAATAAGTACATGGGGGGTGTTGATTTGGCTGATCAGCTGATGCAGCCATATCTTATTTTATGAAAAACCAAAGCATGGTATAAAAAGGTGGCTATCTATCTGATGCAAATAGCAACCCACAACTCATTTTTGCTTTTTTTTTTTTTTTAAATAATCCAGGGAAAACCACCTTTATCCAATTTCAGTTGAAAATAATTTCTTTAACAATTTATGAAGATGGACAAGTTCCAACAAGAAAACCCCAGAAACGTTGCCTGGTCTGTTTTAAAAACGTGAAAAGGACAGACACCCCTTTTCACTGTCCTGATTGCCCTTCGAAACCAGGACTGTGTGTAGGAACATGTTTCAAGCTGTACCACACAGAACAGTTGTAAGAAGTGTTACTGAATTTTTATTTTATTTTTTGTTTCTTTGGAAAGCAGCCATTTTTTGTTAGTCAGTTTCCTTCCCCCAAATCTCAAGTTAGATTCTATTTGCAGGAGTCAGTTTAAAGATTGCTGCTAAATGTACATTTGCTAACTGCACATTTTGTCTAACAAGTTCCTGGCTTTAACACATAACCAGCTGGCCAAAACCAGATGACGTGTGCATAAAAAACAGAATTAAAGGGACAAGACACATGGCACCCGAGCTCCGACATAATTGCTCTGATAAAGCCTCAAAGCTCACCCAAAAAGCCTCCACAAACCGGGGAAACACTTACGTGGACACAGTAAGCAATGGGGAAGCACTCCCGAAAACCCTGAGAGCAACCCACGATATCGGGCAGCTCTTGTCCCAAGCATGCAGGCCCAAAATGGCGGACACCTACCACGACATGGGAATGGAGTCACTTTCAGCATCAGAAGACCTATGCGACATGCCGACCCAGATACCCCAACGGAGGCAGCAGAAAGCACCTCCGAGGCAACCAGAACACCAAGTAGCCACTAAGGTCGACTTGTCCGGTATGGTGACAGACCTCAAGGCCTTTTTCGCGGCGGAACTAGCGGGCCTCAAGTCAGCACTGACCACGCTCATGGGCCGCATACATGCTGCGGAAGACGGGGTCCAAGACCTGAAAGCCCAGCAAGAAGCTACGGCCACTCAAACACTGGAACTAACAGCCATGTGCACACAGCTGAATACTCGAATGGGGCAGCTGGAGGATGCAGCAAGGCAGAGAAACCTCAAGGTGAGGGGGATCCC